CTAATTTCAAGGCGTTATGGTCTGAGAATATGCAGGGGACGATCCCAATCTTTTGGTATCGGTTCAGACCCGATTTGTGACCCAGTATGTGGTCTATTCTGGAGAAAGTTCCATGTGCACTTGAGAAGAATGTGTATTCAGTTGAGTTTGGATGTAAAGTTCTGTAGATATCTGTGAAATCTATCTGGTCCAGTGTATCATTTAAAGCTCTCGTTTCTTTGGAGATGTTGTGTTTAGAAGACCTATCAAGGGTAGAGAGAGCTAGATTGAAATCACCAAGTATAAGTGTATTATTATCTAAGTATTTCTTCACTTTGGTTAATAATTCGTTTAAGTATTTGGCAGCTCCCACATTCGGGGCATATATATTGAGGATTGTTAAGTCCTCTTGTTGGATAGATCCTTTAAGTATGATATAGTGTCCCTCTTCGTCTCTCACTACTGTCTTCGGAGTAAATTTTAGTTTATCTGATATAAGGATGGCTACCCCTGCTTTCTTTTGAGAACCATTTGAATGGTAAATGGTTCTCCAACCTTTTATTTTCAGTTTGTAGGTGTCCTTCTGTCTAAAATGAGTCTCTTGTAGACAGCAAATAGATGGGTCCTGCTTTTTTATCCAGTCTGAAACCCTGCGCCTTTTGATGGGGTCATTAAGCCCGTTCACGTTCAGAGTTACTATTGACAGATATGAGTTTAGTGTCATCATGATATCTATTTAGTCCTTGTTTTTGTGGATTGTTCCACTGAACTTCTTCTTAAAGGGGGATTTTAAGAGTCCCCCTGAAAATTTCTTGCAGAGCTGGTTTGGAGGTCACATATTCTTTCAGTTCCTGCCTGTCTTGGAAGCTCTTTATCTCTCCTTCCATTTTGAGTGAGAGCCTTGCTGGATAAAGTATTCTTGGTTGCATGTTCTTCTCATTTAGGACCCTGAATATATCTTGCCAGCCCTTTCTTGCCTGCCACGTCTCTGTGGAGAGGTCTGCTGTTACCCTAATATTCCTCCCCATGAAAGTCAGGGACTTCTTGTCTCTTGCTGCTTTAAGGATCTTCTCTTTATCTTTGGAATTTGCAAGCTTCACTATTAGATGTCGAGGTGTTGAACGGTTTTTATTGATTTTAGGGGGGGATCTCTCTATTTCCTGGATCTGAATGCCTGTTTCCCTTCCCAGATTGGGAAAGTTTTCAGCTAGGATTTGTTCAAATACATATTCTGGCCCTCTGTCCCTTTCGGCGCCCTCGGGAACCCCAATTAAGGGTAGGTTTTTCTTCCTTAGGTTGTCATTTATTTCCCTTAATCTGTCTTCATGGTCCCTTAATTGTTGGTCTCTTTTTTCCTCAGTTTCCCTCTTTGCCATTAACTTGTCTTCTATGTCACTCACTCGTTCTTCCACCTCGTTAACCCTCATCGTTAGGACTTCTAGTTTGGATTGCATCTCATTCAATTGATTTTTAATTTCTGCCTGATTGGATCTAAATTCTGCAGTCATGAAGTCTCGTGAGTCCTTAATGCTTTTTTCTAGAGCCACCAGTAGCTGTATAATAGTGCTTCTGAATTGGCTTTCTGACATTGAATTGTAATCCAGATTTTGTAACTCTGTGGGAGAGAGGGCTGTTTCTGATTCTTTCTTTTGAGGTGAGGTTTTCCTTCTAGTCATTTTGCTCAGTGCGGAGTGGCCAAAAACAAGTTGTATTGGGAAAAGGAGAGAAAGAGAGAGAAGGAAAGAAAAGAGAAAAAGAAAAAAGAAAAAGAAAAGAAAAAAGAAAAAAGAGAAGAAAAAGGGAAAGAAAAAGAAAGAAAGAAAGAAAGGTGAAAAAAAGGGGTGGGGGAAGCAATCAGAAATCAAAAAGAAAAGAAAAAAGAGAAAAAAAACAAACAAAAAACACGGGGGAGTATTTTCTGAATCTGTAGACTTTAAGTCCCTTGACTTCCCCTGGAACTGGTCCGTCCAGCTGGTCTTCCGGGGGAGGGGCTTGTTGCGCTGATTTTCAGGTGTTAGCACTTGGGGGAGCTGCTCTGCCCCTGCCTGCTGCAGGGCTCAGCGGGGGTTGTTTACCCCGTGAGGTCTCAGGAGGAACAGCCGCAGTTGCTATGGCAACTCTGGAAGCCTGGATTCAGCCTCTGCAGGAACTACGGGGCTCGGGGCTCTCGGCTCTAGGGCCTGGAGGCTCCGGGGCGGGGCCGCTGATTTGCTCAGCTCGGGGCAGGAGCGTCCTTGCTGTCCTGGGCCCTCCTGGCCTCTGCCTGTCCCAGGGGGAGGCCGGATCCTGGGCTGTGTCCCGGCGCCCTGTGCTCCGGGGCCTGCGCTGTTGGATTCGCGCTCCCGCCCTGAAGCTCCCTCCCTGGAGCCGCTCCCGAGCCCCTCCGAGCTGCTCTGGTGCGCGCTGCAGCCCTTAGGGAGCTCGGAGCACTCCCCTGCGCTCGCAGGTGTCTGTTAGTGTCCCAGGGAGCCCGAGGGCATCCCCGCCCTCCTGGGTTCTGCTCTAACTCCCTGCGAGCCCCTTTCCACCCGGGAAGGTTGGTGCCGCTCCTGCTTCTCCGGGACGGAGCTCTCCTGTCCTGGGGACACTCGCCCCGGCCTCAGCCCGGCTCCTCGCGGGGCCCCTCCCCCTCGGAGGCCTTTTGTTTCTTTATTTCGTTTTCCCCGTCTTCCTACCTTGATAGAAGCGCGAACTCTTCTCACTGTAGCCTTCCAGCTGGTCTCTCTTTAAATCTCAGGCCGAATTCGTAGATTTTCAGGATGATTTGAAGGTTATCTAGGTAATTTGTTGGGGACAGGTGATTTGGGGACCCTACTCATCCGCCATCTTGCCCCTCCTCCCATTAGTAACTTTTTAAAAAAAAATTTATTTATTTATGATAGTCACACGCAGAGAGAGAGAGAGAGACGCAGAGACATAGGCAGAGGGAGAAGCAGACTCCATGCACCAGGAGCCCGACGTGGGATTTGATCCCGCGTCTCCAGGATCGCACTCTGGGCCAAAGGCAGGAACTAAACTGCTGCACCACCCAGGGATCCCAACATTAGTAGCTTTGTACAACCTCCCTATAACCCATCTTCGGAACACATTTCATCTTTTTTTTTTTTTAACTTGACCACAGTCACTTTTTGCAAGATACCTCCAAGAAGGCAAGAGAAACAAAAGCAAAAAATGAACTATTGGGACTTCATTAAGATAAGAAGCTTTTGCACAGCAAAGGATACAGTCAACAAAACTAAAAGACAACCTGCAGAATGGGAGAAGATATTTGCAAATGATGTATCAGATAAAGGGCTAGTTTCCAAGATCAACAAGAAACTTATTAAACTCAACAGCAAAGAAACAAACAATGCAATCATGAAATGGGCAAAAGACATGAACAGAAATCTCACCGAGGAAGACATAGACATGGCCAACACACACATGATAAAATGCTCCACATCACTTGCCATCAGAGAAATACAAAGCAAACCCACAATGAGATACCATCTCACACCAGTGAGAATGGGGGAAATTAACAAGGCAGGAAACCACAGATGTTGGAGAGGTTGTGGAGAAAGGTGAACCCTCCTGCACTGTTGGTGGGAATGTGAACTGATGCAGCCACTCTGGAAAACTGTGTGGAGGTTCCTCAAAGAGTTAAAAATAGATCTGCCCTACGACCCAGCAATTGCACTGCTGGGGATAGCCCAAAGATACAGTTTCAGTGAAACTGCAGGACACCTGCAAACCCTGATGTTTATAGCAGCAATGTTCACAATAGCCAAACTGTGGAAGGAGCCTCGGTGTCCATCGAAAGATGAATGGATAAAGAAGATGTGGTTTATGTATACAATGGAATATTACTCAGCCATTAGAAATGAAAAATACACACCATTTGCTTCGACGTGGATTGAACTGGAGGGTATTATGCTGAGTGAAATAAGTCAATTGGAGAAGGACAAACATTATATGGTCTCATTCATTTGAGGAATATAAAAAATAGTGAAAGGGAATAAAGGGGAAAGGAGAGGAAATAAGTGGGAAATATCAGAAAGGGAAACAGAACATGAAAGACTCCTAACTCTGGGAAATGAACTAGGGATGGTAGAAAGGGAGGTGGGTGGGTGGTGGGGGTTACTGGGTGATGGACACTGAGGGGGCACTTAATGGGATGAGCACTGAGTTTTATTCTATATGTTGGCAAATGAACACAATAGAAAATAAATTTATTTAAAAAAAGAAAAGAAAAAAAAGAAGCAATATTTTTTTAATCCTTGAGCATGAAAGGGTTTTCATTTCTTTGTGTCTTCCTCAACTTGCAATGAAGTATTCTAGTGTTCTCAGTGTACACATCTGATTTGATTCACTGTTAGTTATTTTTGTTGTGCTGTTGCAATTGTAAATGCCATGGACTCCTGGGTTTCTCTTTCGACACTATCATTGTTAGTGTGAAATGTGCCTGACATTAGAGCATTGAATGTATATCTTGCTATTTTGTAAAATTGCTGATTCAGATATAAAGTGTTTTCCTGGAGTCTTTTGAGTTTTCTATGTGGAGTAGCATTTCATACGTGGAGAGTGAAATTTTGACTTACTACTTCTTTATTTGGTAACTTGTATTTCTTCTCTTTGTCTGATTGCTGAGACAAGGATTTCCAGTGCTTTATTGAAGAACTTTTTTGAGCGTGGAGATTCCTGTCATGTTCATGACCTTAGTGCATGAGATCCACCTTTCTCTGCATTTACGAACGTCATTTTAAGTCTAGACACCTCTAAATTGAAATTGAGTTAGTGGATAGCCTTTTTTATTGCTAATGGACATCCAAGAAAACTGCAGTAACAATTTTTATATCAGAACTGGTTTCAATCTGAAGACTGAAATAAGAGACGAAGAAGAACACTACTTCCTAATTAATGTGACTATTGAACACGAAGATCATTTACATTGATGCTGTGATATTGGTCCAGGATAGTGTCCACACCAGAGGCCTTTCCTCTGTCACTCGGATTGTTAATGCCTCTGTAGCCTCGTGTCGAGCATGTACTTTATGCTCCTTGAAGCACACTTGCCGGTTGAACTGGGTGGTCCTCTGATGCACACTGAGTGCAGTTTGTCTCTTGCAAAGCATAAGTTGATGAGCGTCAGGATATTGGCAATGTATGTATTAGAGACAGGAATAAACAATGTTTGTGAATGATTCATATGTGTATTTTAGTGTATTTCTCTTCCTGTGATAAGTATATTTGTAGGTAAACACTGAATAGGTCAACATTCTCTGTGTCCAGAGAATCTCCCTGGGATCAATATTTGATGGAGAAGAAGCCCCAGACACTGGCACAAAAGTAGCAAACAAAGGATCACAAGATTCAGCCTGAATATTTATTAAAGGTTTTATTTATTTAATCCTGAGAGATACAGAGAGAGAGAGAGAGGCAGACACACAGGAGGAGGGAGAAGCAGATTTCATGCATGGAACCCCATGTGGGACTTGATCCCGGGACTCCGGGATCATGCCCTGAGACAAAGGCAGGCGCTGAACCACAGAGACACCCAGGGATCCCCACAGTCTGAATATTTAATAGGTTTCTTGACATCCCTTGTGCTGATGATGTCATAGTCTGAAGTTGTCCAAGACGACATCATCAAACCGATCCCATGCCCATGCATCCCTCCCCTGTAGGATGGGAACCTATCACGTAAACCCCCCACTAATGGTCCCTGCTGAAGGGAAGCAAGATGACACTGAGCAGAAATGCTTTGAGACCCACATCCTCTGTGTCCAGTCCAGGAACAGAATTTGGCTGCAAAAGAATGCCTTCCAATCCAGCATCCCATAACAACAGAAAGAGGAACAGAGGTCAACACCAAAGTTTTCTTGAGGACTGCATATTAAATGTAAGCCTAGTGTGAGGGAAAGGTAGAAAAGAGGAAACTTAGAGCTTCAATGTCCATCTACAGATGAATAGATAAAGAATATGTGGTCTAGGGCAGCCCAGGTGGCTTGGAGGTTTAGTGCCCCCTGCATCCCAGGGCATGAATCTAGAGATCCGGGGTCAAGTCCCACATTGGGCTCCCTACACGGATCCCCCCTCTGCCTTTGTTTCTGCCTCTCTCTCTGTCTCTCTCATTAATACATAAAAAAATTCTTTAAAAAAATGTGGTCTAGGGAGGGTCCAGTCGCAAAGACTGTTAACAGTGTTTATTACAATGGAAGAAATCAATAATTTCAAGACACCAAGCAAATTATCGGAAAAAAAAGAAATCTGTATCTACACCAAGAAAAGAAACTGCTTCATGGAGACATAAAGTCTTCAAATGTTGTAATTAAAGGTGATTTTGAAACAATTAAAATCTGTGATGTAGGAGTCTCTCTGCCACTTGATGAAAATATGACTGTGACTGATCCTGAGGCCTGTTACATTGGCACTGAGCCTTGGAAACCCAAGGAAGCTTTGGAAGAGAATGGCATTATTACTGACAAGGCAGACATATTTGCCTTTGGCCTGACTCTGTGGGAAATGATGACTTTGTCTATTCCACACATTAATCTTCCAGATGATGAGGATGATGATGAAGATAAAACTTTTGATGAAAGCGACTTTGATGATGAAGCATACTATGCAGCTTTGGGGACGAGGCCACCTGTTAATATGGAAGAACTGGATGAAACGTACCAGAAAGTAATTGAACTTTTCTCTGTATGCACTAACGAAGATCCTAAAGATCGTCCTTCTGCCGCACACATCGTGGAAGCTTTGGAAATAGATGTCCAGTGATCCCCGCATATTCATGACTACTGCCTTTATGTGTGGCTCATGTATAGAACTGTTCTGTTTACTCTAATACACTATAGAGTTACTGTGATAAGCTGTAATTATTAGACTTTTTGGAAGTGACCCACTTTAGGACCACAGCGCCTAGTTAACATTTAAACAGTTGTATTTGTTAATATGCTTCTGATGATAAGCATTTGAGATTATAGGTTTTCTTTTTTTTTTGAGATTATAGGTTTTCTATTAAGTTCAGGAAACTAGCTACTTATGTATTTGAACGTTTATATATACATATAAAACACTAGCAGTAATACAATGCTATAAACTCTATGCCTAACATTAATTTGGATCAAGTGACCATCACTTTTACTGTTTCTCAAATATTATTTTAATGGATCTATTGAAATTAGCACTTTGTGCCGTACAAAAAGAAGTCTACGTTTGCTTATCTTTTAAGCCATTTAACTTTTTCCTGGCCTTTTTTGGCTGATGTGCTTATTATTAAATATGGTCACCAGAAGCTGAGAGAATATGGCTCACAAGACTAGCTTCCTGGGTATTTAGATGTTTTGGGTTAAGGCTTATCTTGCTCTCTCCATTCTCCCCAGGTCTTTGGCTTTCGCTTTATTAGATGTATTTTCTGTTTTGAAATATTTTTTTATTTAGTAATCTATATCTTAAGCATTTTGTAGTTCTGGCATAAAAATAAAATCCTAGTAGGATGATATAGAATAAAGGAGACTTCAGTTACCAGAAAAAAAAATGTGGTCTATATATACAAAGAAATATTACTCAGCCGTTAAAAATTACGAATACCCACCATGTGCTTTGACTTGGATGGAACTAGAGGGTATTATGCTGAGTGAAGTAAGTCAATCGAAGAAAGACCACACCACACCCTTATATTAATGTTTGGAGACTCAATCATGGGCCTGAGTAAACCAGCTCAGACAAAAGCAGGGTGAACACAGAGTTCAGATGGAAACTGAGGACAGAGGGATCCCTGGGTGGTGCAGCGGTTTAGCGCCTGCCTTTGGCTCAGGGCGCGATCCTGGAGACCTGGGGTCGAATCCCACGTCGGGCTCCCGGTGCATGGAGCCTGCTTCTCCCTCTGCCTATATCTCTGTCTCTCTGTCTCTCTCTCTCTGTGTGACTATCATAAATTTAAAAAAAAAAGGAAACTGAGGACAGAAAGGGGATGATGGCTCTCCTGTGAGGGTTCCCTGAAGAGTGAGGGGCAAGGATATTCAACCCCAGGCTACAGGTAGGGGAACATGGTCACCCCCGCACCAGCGCATCAGGGGGCAGAAGAGCGCCACTTGCTGGAGTCCAGAGCTGCTCACCCCAAGCCCTTCCCCTGCCCCCTAGATGTGCAGATGTGGACCCCATTAGTGCAGGACCCCTGAGTGTGTGCACAGCAGCCCCTCCTCAAGAGATCAGCACCAGCAGTAGCAGGTCAGCAATTCTAGTGATCAGAGAATGCTGGGGGTGTCACCTCTGGGGGAAGTAAGGCCTAGCTTTCTCTCTAGTTTTATTCTATATTGTTTATTCCTGTTTAGTTATATTACAGTTTTTATTTCTTTATTGTTATCTTGTTCTTAATAATTCTATTTATTTTTTATATTTATGAATATATTATACACACGTATAAAGACGATGCATATATAGGTTGACCTATTTTGGACATCCTCAACATGGAGATATTTATAATTTATTCCTATTTAGTGACAAGTGTAAACAAGTGTAAGCAAATGTGTGCTCTGTGAATATAGAAATAACTGTGTCTTATAAAGAAACAAATTTTGAAATCACACACTGAAGAGGTCAACTCAGAATCTTGAGTCAATAGAGGCTCCCTGGGGGAATCAGCTCCATGGAGGAGACATAGAGCCCTACAGGAAACCTGCCCAGAACCTCCATCTGCACCTGCTCCTGGGCCTTCAAGACAGAAGTGGTGAGGAGTGTGCACCCCCTGCTGGTCCCGATCCCCCTCTACAGGAATGTTTGTGTAGGGGGCTCACACTTAGGTTGACTCACTGTGTCACTTGCACAGTAATACACGGCCGTGTCCTCAGCTCTCAGGCTGTTCATCTGCAGATACAGCGTGTTCTTGGCGTTGTCTCTGGAGATGGTGAATCGTCCCTTCACAGCATCTGCGTAGCTTGTGCTACTTCCACTACTGCTAATCCGTGTGACCCACTGCAGCCCCTTCCCTGGAGCCTGGCGGATCCAGCTCATAGGATAGCTACTGAAGGTGAATCCAGAGGCCACACAGGAGAGTCTCAGGGACCCCCCAGGTTTCACCAGGTCTCCTCCAGACTCCACCAGCTGCACCTCACCCTGGACACCTGCAGACACAAGACATCCTGGTCAGGAAACGGTCCCACATCCCCAGTTTCTCTCACTCACCTCCACTCACAGACTCATGGTCTCTTGTTCGCCATGAATTACCTTTTAAAATAGCGACAAGGAAAACCCATCTGAGCACAGACTCCATGGTGAGTTGTCTGTGTTGTGTCGTGAGCACTGAGTGCGGTCACGTGGGATCCTGGGCCTGGGGCACCTCTCCCAGCTACAGGGTCAGAGCTGGGACGGTTTAATCAGTGGAGGAAGGGCTCTATTTGCATGTCCTTGAATATATAACTAGCACCAGACCTAGATATGATTCTTTACAAGTTATTAACAAGGATTGCTTTACATCTCTAGGCCACTGTGTGTAATGTTTTGTGAAATTTGAAGTGTTCAAATCTATGAAAAAATACCTTTTCAATTCTTTATGACTTTTAAAAATTCTCTCATAAATTTAGGTATTTTTAGTGGACAGTATTTTACCTCCTTCAGAATATTTAATCCTACATATTGTATTTTTAACACCCGTGTCAATGTCATAAGGTTTTATAAATTACCTTTTAAATACTTTATTGTTATGGATGCCTGGTTGGTTCAGTGGTTGGGGTCTGCCTTCTGCTCCTGGAGTGATCCTGGAGTCCCAAGATCCAGTCCCACTTTGGGCTCCCTGCATGGAACCTGCTTCTCTCTCTGCCTGTGTCTGCCTCTCTCTGTATGACTTTCATGAATAATACAGTAAAATCTTTAAAATATAAATAATTAGTTGTTACTGTGTGGAAACCTAGATTTACTTTCTTGATTTTGTATCCTATATATTCCCTGAAATTGTTCATTAACTAAGGGTTTGGTTTTGAAGCATATCGGGATTGACCCTGCAACAGATCATGTCATATGGATACAAATAAATTTTTCTGTATCTATTGATTTAAATATTTTTATTCTTTGTTTCCTGAATTTCCTGTATTGGAATTCCAGTCGTTGCCCCAATAAGGGTATCCTTCAATTCTTCCTGGTTATTTGTCTGGACTAATTACTCTGTAGACATATGACAGAACTAAGTGGAGATGTATTTCATGTTGCATGTGCATGAGCACCCTGGAACACAACAAAAGGACAATGATCAAGGTAGGCAGCCCGTTTGGTTATTACACAACAGGACATTGGATTTGTGGAGATATAAGGCCAGGATATTGGGTTTGGGTCAGAGAATTAGTGAGGAACTCACAAGGGTTGTTTTCAAAACCTTCTGGGCCCTACAGATGGTTCTAGGGAAGAGGATGGTGCACCCCTCCTGGAAGGGAGAAGGGAATTTTCCCACGGGAGATTTATTTCCATCCATCAGGGTGATATACAGGGTTCAGTCTCTCTGTCCACTGGATGATTCTCATGTGATTTTATTCACAATAATCCATGGAACCAGCTGACATATGGGGTGGCACAGTTTATTCTCCTTCAGTATAACATTTTGAATACTCAGGGTGGGAATAACCTCCTGTGTGGGTCCTGACTTGACAGAAGGGCTTCAGGTTTTCACTTTTGAATGCAATGCTGGTTGTGGGTTTTTCATAAAATGTGACTACTTCCATCAGATAGGAGGCAATCGCTTCTGCTTCGATTGTTAAGACTTTTTTGATAATAAATTTATTTTTTATTGGTGTTCAATTTGCCAACATACAGAATAACACCCAGTGCACATCCCGTCAAGTGTCCCCATCAGTGCCCATCACCCATTCACCCCCACCCCCTGCCCTCCTCCCCTTCCACCACCCCTAGTTCATTTCCCAGAGTTAGGAGTCTTCATGTTCTGTCTCCCTTTCTGATATTTCCCACACATTTCTTCTCCCTTCCCTTATATTCCCTTTCACTATTATTTATATTCCCTAAATGAATGAGACCATATAATGTTTGTTTTTCTCTGATCGACTCATTTTACTGAGCATAATACCCTCCAGTTCCATCCACATTGAAGCAAATGGTGGATATTTGTCATTTCTAATGGCTGAGTAATATCCCACTGTATACATAAATCACAGCTTCTTTATCCATTCATCTTTCGATGGACACCGAGGATCCTTCCACAGTTTGGCTATTGTGGACATTGCTGCGAAAAACATCAGGGTGCAGGTGTCCTGGTGTTTCATTGCATCTGTATCTTTGGGGCAAATCCCCAACAGTGCAATTTCTGGGTCATAGGGCAGGTCTATTTTTAACTCTTTGAGAAATCTCCACACAGTTTTCCAGAGTGGCTGCACCAGTTCACATTCCCACCAAGAGTGCAGGAGTGTTCCCTTTTCTCAGCATCCTCTCTAACATTTATGGTTTCCTGTATTGTTAATTTTCCCCATTCTCACTGGTGTGAGGTGGTATCTCATTGTGGTTTTTATTTGTATTTCCCTGATGTTAAGATGTTTTGAAGATAAAAGCGTGTTAGATTTTTTCAAGCGATTTTAGGCATCATAGGAAAGAATCAGGTACATCCAATCCTTCACTCTGTTAATACATGGGTCCCATTTATCTGGGCGTGTTGAAGCATCCTTGTATCCCAGGGATGATTTCCTCTAGGTCATCTGGTGCAATCTGTCCATGGGCTGTTGGATTCAGGATGCCAGGATTTTTGCATTTATGTGCATCTGAAACATTGTCCGTGAGACCCTTCCCGTGAGGTCCTTGGCGTGGGTTTGCTCTTAGAGTCATCCTGGCCTCCTTAAATCAATGTGGTCATGTTGCATTCTCATTACTTTTTGGAAGAGTTTGACATGTTTTTGGCCTTAATTCTTAAAATATTTTGAATATTTGTAGATATGCCATCTGATTTTGGCCTTTTCATTGCATTTTTTAAATTTTTTCATTGTCGTTTTTGAGGCAGAATTTTCTTAAGATTTTATTTTTTCATGAGAGACACACACAGTGAGAGAGGCATAGACACAGGCAGAGGGAGAAGCAGGCTCCATGCAGGGAGCCCGACGTGGGACTTGATCCCACGTCTCCAAGATCAGGTCCTGGGCTGAAGGTGGCGCTAAACCCCTTTGACACCTGGGCTGCTCCAGGCAAAATTTTTAGATAATGATTTCAGTCTTTGTGTTTGTTCTGTTTTGTTCATTTTTTATTTCTTCATGAAACAGTTTTAGCTTATTGATAATAAATTTGTAATTTGCCTTGGTTATCCAAGGCTTGTATTATTAAAATATTAGAATTTTGTTCATAGTCCTTTCTATTTTTTGGTGTCAGTAATTTCTTCTCTTTGAAAATTATTAAATTTATTAACGCTTACCTATTTTACAAGAGGGCCTATGAGTAAAGTTTCATTTCCATATATTTTCCATATACTTATTAAATCTTCTTGAGTATTTTCATCATCTATACAAATGGACAAATCTTTTGTTCTAAGGATTTTAATGTTGATTAAGTTAATCAAAATATCAAATGTTTTCTTACATAATAGAAAATTCTTATGGAAAAGAAAATCACAGATTATAAGAAATAAGAACAATAGTCAGACATCACACATCCCTCTACAGAAATGTATTTTAGTCACACATTAATCATTTCATAGTGTGACTGCCTAATATCACACATGTAGACAGTGGAGCACATTACAGAGCCCAGAAGTAAACGTGTGTATATACATTCAGAAATCCCCCCGAAATATCTAAGAATACACAGTGTGGAATGGAGAGTCATATCAAATGGTATCGGACACCTCATGCAAATAATGACATTTGGTCCTTATCAAACATCACACAGATACAAGGACACAGAAAATCTCAAAATGGATTAAAGAGAAGCAGAAGTCTCAACCATAGAACTTATACATGTAAACTTAGGGGAAAACATCATGATATTTGTCTGGATGTGATTTATTTGATATAACATTAAAATCATAGTAAAAAAAAAAACAAAGAAAAATGAGTGGGGCTACCTCATGCCCAAAGTGTGCAGAACAAATATTAGTGGAGCAAGAAGGTAGCCTATGAAATGGGAGATGGTATGTTCAACTATATACTGAGATGGACTAAGTATCCAAAATACTAAAGGGACACTTAACCGCAATAGAAAGTCTGACAAAAAGCAATAGTAATAAACCCAAAACCCCCATTGCTCAAGAAGGGCGCCTGAGCGACTCGTGTGGTTAAGCATCTATATCTTGGATTTGACTCACGTCGTGATCTCAGGATCCTGGATTTGAATCCCAAGTCAGGCTCTGGTCATGGGGAATCTCTTGAGATTTTCTTTCTCTCTCTCCTGCTCCTCTCCTCTTTCTCTCTAAATAAATATATTTAATATATATATATAATAAATAAAAATATAAAATATATAACTATATATAAAATATATAAGATATTTATACGATGGAATATTACTCAGCCATTAGAAATGACAACCGCCATTTGCTTCAATGTGGATGGAACTGGAGGGTATTATGCAGAGTGAAATAAGTCAATCAGAGAAGGACAAACATTATATGGTCTCATTCATTTGGGGAATATAAATAATAGTGAAAGGGAATAGAGGGGAAGGGAGAAGAAATGGGTAGGAAATATCAGAAAGGGAGACAGAACATGAAGACTCCTAACTCTGGGAAACGAACTAGGGGTGGTGGAAGGGGAGTGGGTGTGGGTGAGGGTTACTGGGTGGCAAGCACTGAGGGGGGTACTTGACGGGATGAGCACTATGTGTTATTCTGTATGTTGGCAAATTGAACACCAATAAAAAATAAATTTATTAAAAAATAAAAATATAAATATATAAAAATATATATAATATATTATATATATTATATATAATATAGGGGATCCCTGGGTCGCTCAGCGGTTTGGCGCCTGCCTTTGGCCCAGGGCGCGATCCTGGAGTCCTGGGATCGAGTCCCACGTCGGGCTCCCAGCATGGAGCCTGCTTCTCCCTCCTCCTGTGTCTCTGCCTCTTTCTCTCTCTCTCTCTGTGTCTATCATAAATAAAAATAAATAAATAAATCTTTAAAATATATATATATAATATAGATATAGAACTTTTTTTTTAGATATAGAACTTATATACAAATTGTATATAAGAACAAACAATATAGAAAACAAACAATAGCGGGACACTATTCAGACAGTTGATTAAAACTCTGACCTCACTCTGTTCCCAAACACTTGTCCTCATTTCCATCTGAGTGAGAGGAAGGACTAGACCTCAGGTTGTAGGAGAGGCAGTAGCAGGAGATGGATG